ACTCATCCATCTGTCATTTCATCCCACATTAATATGGCCTTCTGTTTCACCTTGTGTAAAAAAACTCCACCAAAAAGTGTTTGTGACTTTCGAGTTTGTGAATGTTGATCATTTCAATTTCACCAGCATACAAAATCGTTCATACTTGTGCTCAAATGTTCAATTTCTGAATATGGGGAAATTCGTAGATTTCCTGGAGAAGAAAACAGTATCAGAAGTAATACATCAGTATGTAACTTTGATGTCATTTTGCCATGTGAAATGGAAAATACCGGATATTTTGTCCGTTTTTTAAAGTAAATCATCAGATTGGCAGTCAAATATTTGAAGAAGCTTGTGAATGTGCAAGTAGACCCCCAAAATGCATGTAATTTGATAATCCAACAATCTTTTTATCAGGTTTTGTGGTTGCTTTACCAACAATGGGCCTACAACATTGTACAACTGGAAATCATTGTGTGCACATGTAACACAAAGAATTCCATTTCAGAGAGCAGTGCAAGAATTGTTAAACACACTTTACGTCTGCGTATTCATGTTTTTGTATGCTGTTTATATAGTTTCATTTTTATGCCAGTTTTTAAAGCCTGTATTGACAATTCTTGCCGAGTTAAATTGATGCATTACGTGTTCAACTTATGTGTTAGTGTTTTTGTAACAAATTTTGGGACATTGTATTTGAGAAGTGAGCTTACATGTATCTGCTACTTAGAACTGTTCGCTGGGAATTACAGTAGGATTGCAAAGTATAATTTATTTTTCAGAACTACTTTTGAAATGTGGGTCGTTTGTGTGAGTGCTTTTAAGCGGCAAGTTTATCCTGTATGTGTGTAAAATGAGGTGTGTTCATAGGCATGGTCTGGATCCCAGACCTCGTGATTTTGTGATTTATCCAAAGTCATTGGTGCTTTGTGTTAGGGCACCAGACCACTTTAAGCACAAAAGACTACCAGATACTGTAGTTTAACGGTGTAAAGACCAAAGTAGAATGGAAAGCTATATCTGAAGTCAGCCCCTATGTTTATTTCACAAAACGTCTAGCAGAAAATGCAGCATCCGTGAACACTTTCATAGTCAATCTGTGCTTTTCAATTCAAAGATAAAAATGGTAACTCTGTCAATTAGCCATGGTGATGTATTGGTTTATTTTCCTTTTTTTTCCTTTTATTTAGCTGTCAATTGGGATTATTTATTAAAAGCTGCATGTATAGGAAATGGAACAGCAACAATGAAAATATTACCATTTAAAATTATTGCCTCGGCGATCGTGCATGAAAATACCAACTTGTTTCCATATTATGCAACTATTGTCTTTCTCCCTAAAGACTAGTGAATAATTATGATGCTGTAAGGAAAGATGTTGTATCTTTATTTTCTACATTGGATGTTTACTTTTTGCATGCAGAGAGGGAGTGTAACTACCAAGTAGTGCTTAATGCATGAGAACGCATTGGACTTTCATTTTGAAGAAGTAAACAAAAATCTGTGAAACAAAGATTTTAACCGCAGGGATTATGAGAGTTGTTGTCAGTGGTGACAGCTTGGACTGAGTTGATGACCTCAGGAATGAGTACAGGATGTTAGTAGGAAGGGAAAAAGTAAATAAACCAGCATTATGTAGCCGAAATGAAAGTGTTTGCGTCATCAAACCTAGAAACGGTTCTTATTGGCTGGTGTGGTTTTGTGTTCCCCACCTTTTGCCACATTAGGTACAGCAAGATTTCAAAAGCAAAACCGCAAAGGTGCGCAAACCACAAGCATAAGCACAGCTTTTTGTTTATTCACACTTTCAAAATCAATACGCTTTCCCACATAATGATTCTGTCACCAAGTTGTATCATCATAAAACATCTTAAACAAATAGAAAGCCTGGCAAAGTTGCTTGTCCAAACTATACAATCTTTTTTCCAGCTACCGCCTTAATTCCCACCTGAAAATACACAGTGATATTGAAATATTTTTCTTTTCCTTTTTTTATTGTAATGTCTTGAGGGACAATCACGCCTTGGCAGAACTATGGGAACCATGAGTAACTCGAGATTTTTTATTGCCTACCTGAAGTCACTGATGGATTGGGGAGAGGCAAATGGGTCCAAGGCTCTCAAGGGTCAATAAATTCTATTTGTTTTAATGAGGAAAAGGCAATTGATTTATTTTGTTAATACATTGTTTCATTTTCTACCTAAAGCCTGCAGAAAGCCTCCTCCCCTTCCCCAGAAATTTAGGTTGATGCCTCAGGCCAGCCATATAGGTTACATAAAGAAATTCCCCCACCATTTTTTGGGCCTTCCCAAACTTTGTTTCTGGATCCACCCTTTGCTAGACCTGAATTTAATACCCCATCACGTCCAGAGAAGATTACTATCTGAATGCACAGTGTTTGAAAGGGACATTTTGCAGAGCATCCCATCTTCATTTTCTCAGACCCTGTTGACAATCTTTTTAACAATCTACAGAGACAAAAGTACATGTGCCACTAAA